ATACAATACAATACAATACAATACAATACAATACAATACAATACAATACAATGAATCATGAACATTTTCATTTTCCATTTGGAGGTATGGAGATGGTTAGAATTAGACCACAATTACTCTGCCAACAGCAGCAAACCCCATGGGGCCTACATTGGTGAAAGTGCACAGAGGAGCTCAAGTCATGAGCTAGCCAATATATACCTGGAGCACTCAAGCTATTTGAAGCCAAGCCAATAGGACAACTTCTTTACAATGCCCAGCTGGGCTCCTTCTCCAACCAGGCACAATTATTACAGGTGGTCTTTGACTTACAACCTTTCACTTAGCAACCAATCGAAGTTACAATGATGTTTTAATATGTGACTTATCACATTTATGCATTGTGTGATCAAAATTCAGACACTTGGCAACTGGCATGTATTTATGATGGTTGCAGTGTCTCAGGGTTGTGTTTTTGTCATTGGCCACCTTCCCAGATGGCCTCTGGCATGCAAAGTCAATGGGGGGAAGCTTGGGTTCTATTAAGAACCACGTGATTTGCTTCACAATGGCCAAAAAAGGTCATAAAATTGGGTGCAATTCACTTAACAAGCTGCTTTACTTAGCAATGGAAATTCTATTTTCAGTTGTGATCATAAGTCGAAAAACTTGTAAAAACTTGTTCAATCTGCCTGTAAAAACTTGTTCAATTTCTCATTCCAGGTCAGCTCTTCAAGTCCCCAAATGTGTTTCTAATGCCACCCTGAGACTGGAGACAGGTCTCATGAAAGTGTGTATAGTCACATGGGTGACTATACTCCATTGGCTCAAACTATCTCCCCACCCCCCTTGGCCTCATTCTACTAACTTTGAAGGATGATTTTCAATCTACATGGAAGAAGGCAGTATCAACTTGGAATTTCATCCTTCTCTCTCGGTCTTCTACTGAGCATGCTCAGGCCATTAAACAGCACGTAGCATGTAGCAGACTCAAAGTGCCAAATGGACCTAGCGGTGTCCTGACCTTTACTGTCAATAAATACAATACTGCCTCTTCTATGGTTTATTTACATTGAATTACGTAGCCCTGAAGAAGGGATGCGGTGGCTCAGTGGCTAAGAGTTTGTCGATCGAAAGGTTGGGAGTTCAGTGGTTCGAATCCCTAGCGCCGCATAACGGAGTGAGCTCCTGTTACTTGTCCCAGCTTCTGCCAACCTAGCACTTCGAAAGCACGTAAAAAAATGCAAGTAGAAAAATAGGGACCACCTTTGGTGGGAAGGTAACAGTGTTCTATGCGCCTTTGCCGTTTAGTCATACCAGCCACATGACCACAGAGACGTCTTCGGACAGCGCTGGCTCTTTGGCTTTGTAACCGAGATGAGCACTGCCCCCTAGAGCCTGAAACGAGTGGCACGTATGTTTACCTTTATCTTTACCTAGCCCCAAAAAGCCTTTAAAGTGCATGATGTCATGCTCTCCCCAAGCTGTACTTGAAGGCCAATATAAGGAACTGTATTGAGGACCCAGGCTGTTGGGGACAATATGCTGACACTGTAAACTGCTTAGAGAGGACTGTAAAGCTCTATGAAGCAGTATATAAGTCTAAGTTCTATTGCTACAAGAAAATTCCTTATCCAGAGACAATCTCCTGTGACTCTGGACACACAAAAACCACACAGCGTGTACTCCTCTTCCGGTCCCTGTATTACAGAGACATTCCTATTAGCATCATTTCACCATTTACGTGTGAGCCCAGAGTATACAGACAATTCTACACATCCTTGCTGCTAGCAGATACTAATCCTGCTACAACATACAATTTTTTTTACATGCAGCAGTTTTCAAAATCCATCAGATGATGACCTGTGCCTCAAACTAGTTTTAATGAGCATCTCTAGTTTATTATTTAAGAGCACCTTACACTGTAATAGATTTGGTTAGCCATATACCAAGTTTTATGCTCTCCTTATCCATTTAATGCTTTTATCCCTCCCTTTAGATTTTGCTTGTAGTTTTTTTGTTTTTATATATGCCTTTTAGCACTTTTTAAACATATTTTTATGCTTTTTAGCCTTGTGTAACTTTGTTTTCATATTTTCTTAGCCTTTTAAAAATCATTGTGTGTATCCCATCCTCCTTATGGGTCTGTGACCATAATCAAGATTTGATTTGTTTTGACCACAGTTACAGCTGGGTTTTTTAAAATTTTAAAATCATATACTTCTGAGAGGAATACAGTGATATTCTCCAGCAGCAGAATGAACCTCAAGATTATACAGAGGAAAAGAATGAAAGTAGAATATGGCTATTTCTATTCTAATACTGCATTTTAATCTTTTTATGTCCATCTATAACAGGGGTGTCAAACTCACATCACGGTAGCGTCACATGACGTATAGGAACTTTCCCCCCTTCATTAAAACAGGTGTGAGTGTGGCCAGTGCATAATGCATCTGGCTCGCTGGCTGGGAGTTTGACAGCCCTAATCTATAGAAATCGGTAACTCTGGATCTCCCATAAAACAAGGTGTATATTACTGTGGATGGCTTTCACCTATTAGTAGTTGTAACTCCCATATTTCCATTGTATTCTAGGTCAGTGTTTCTCAAGCGGGCCACCTTTAAGATGTGTGGACTTCAACTTCCAGTATACTCAAGCCAGCTTGGCTGGCTGGGAAATTCTGGAAGTTGAAATCCACACATCTTAAAGGTGGCCCGCTTGAGAAACACTGTTCCGTGTAGTATTGGGATACGTAACTTTGGCAAAAGGTGCAGCCTTCCAGCAAACCAGAGCTACTCCAGATGCTGGCATTGATTTGCAATTTGGGTGCAAAATTATGTCAAGAAAGGGATAAAGGAAGTAGAGAAAACCAAGCTGGATTTAGAACTGGCCATAGTTGCATGTTCCCTTAATCCAGTGTGTGTGTGTGTGTGTGTGTGTGTGTGTGTGTGTGTGTGTGTGTGTTACTGGGAGGGATGAACAAGGAATGCCAGGAATCCAAGTGTATTTAAGTCCAGAAGGGTCATCCAAGGTGTGAACACACTCCCAGCTGCCAATTAAAACAAGCAGACATGTAATTTGTGTTAAAGAACAGTAGAAAGGAAGAATTGTGAGCTTTTGCTAGAGAAATGTGAATATAAGCCTATTCTTGGTTGACTGCATCAGTATATGATAGGGCAGAAATCTACATGTTTGCATGTTAAAGATTCCAGATGTAATTCCTTGCGTGTCCAGCTAAGACACTTAGGGTAGGCTCTATTGTATTGGATATTTTTGGGGGGAGGGGGGATGGTAAAGCAAACATTATAGGCTTGATGGCCTAACTATGAGATCTGTATGCATTTTAAAATTCAAATTAAAGTCAATAGGAGTGGTACCAGGGAGCAATGTCACAAAGAAACTGCCTTATAATAATAAGAAGGTGCCATCTGCTGGCAAGAAAATGTAAAAGTGGAAATATAAAATGGAATGCATTTCATATTCATGCAAGGGGCTTTTTGAACTCTTACAATTGCACTGCACAAGGTATACAGCATGTTACAGTGAAAGCTAGAAGTTATAACTTTCTTTGCATGGTGGAAAACCTAAATATTGCTGAACTATAAAACCCTACATCCTTAACTGTTAGTTATGGAAACGGAAGGGTCTGAATTTAGCAACATTTGGAAAGTCAGAGGTTTTCCCAGAGTTGTTACAAAGTATATCCCATGAACTGGTAGTTTCCTTAGTTCTCTCATATGGTATCATTTAAACAAATTGTGAGCAATCCAACCAGGCTAACGTGTTTGTTTGGACTTTATTCCTCCCCTGTTTGGCTTTGATTTCCTTGCAAAAGCAAAGCAAAGCAAAGCTTGCTGTGGCCATGAGTTCATACTCATGTTAATTTCCCAATCTTGCTAGAATTCCAGGGAAGCAAGATTTCTCACATAACCTAAATGCAAGCAATAATGACAAAATGTGTTGTTTGCCACCTCCTTCTCTCCCTTCCTTGTCCACTAGTGAAGACAACAAGTGGAAAGGGATTAAGTGTAAAAAGAGGCAAGAGAAGCAGGCTCATTCAAAGATCTATCACAGGAAAGAGCCATCCATGGAAAAGAAAGAATGATTCTTTGCCATTGGTAGGAGGAATAAAGAAGCAGGGGAATCCACTAAGTGAAGCCTGGAGAGAACAGTAGGTCATCACCATGAGATTTGAAAACCAGAGAAGGATTTCTTAAGCTAGTTTCATTTCTAGTGGTTATGCGCTGGAGTCTTGCAATCTTAAAAGTTATAGTGTGGAAAAGCCCTGGGAATTTTTCTATAAACCCTGCAGAGGAAGTTTGAGAGGGCAGTTCTTTCTTCTAAAGACCATTTCTCTCTTACTAACGAAGAGAAATCTATAAAAGCCTCTGCCTCTCGTGATGCCTTTTTAAAGGTCATTGGGTTGCAGCCTAAAATAAAATGGAAAACACTGAGTATTTCCTGATAACATTGGCCATAATGATTGGATGAGATGAGAGATGAGAGATTTTATATATATATATATATAT